TTTTTCAACTAGGTCTGTACCTGATTCCTTGTGTTATTTATATGTGTAGTGTTTGTTTCAATTCGATTAACATATTGTAGTTTTAGATTTTCTGTTTCTTCAAGTTTCATTGTGATTTCCGCTTGCTCTAGTTTGTCTACTAGTTTTCGAAAATCTAAATCTGGCTCTCGAATTGAGGAAGGATGAGATGCTCTCTTTTATATTGCTATTTTCCTTAATTGAGGTGTTAAGGTCATCATTAAAATTTCTGTCACTTTTGAGTTTTTATAGTCATGTGTATTAAGTGAATATGCTGTGAACTAGTGTTTCGATACGTACTGCTAATTGTTTGATGGTTTCATTTGGTAATCTGCGAATTTCATTACATAAAACTCTTTGGTGTTGTTTATTTCTTTCGGAGTCAAACATTTTTGAAAATTCTTGTGTAAATCTTTTCCAGTCTGATTTTATTTCTATAGGTAATACTGAAAACCATTTTTGAGCTGCGCCATCTAAAGTTGTTTGTATCAATGCTGTGCGTCTATGTATCCAATTTTGATGTAGTGGCGTATTAATTGGTTCAGGTCCTATATTTAAAATTAAATTTGGTGTTACTGCATTTAAATAATCTTCTACAGAATATTCAGGATCTGTTCTTGTAAATACCATCAGTGGTTTATTTGATGTTATTGATGATCCACCCATGAGGTATGGATTCATTGTCATCTGTAGTGATTCTGCGGCATTTGGCATTTGCGAAAAACTTGAAAGTTGATTTTTTGTTATTTCGTGTTGCTGAAGATAATATGGAAGTGGTATTTCATTTTGCATTTGAGTTGGTTGATACGAGTGCATAGTCATTGGGTTTTGTGGTTGAATCGGTTGGAAAGATTGTGTATTAGTTGGATTTGGCATATGTATTGGTTGTTGATTTCGTGTATCTGTTGGGTTTGGAGAAAAAATTCTATTATATGTATGAGGTCGTCGCGATCCTTGTGTGCGATATTCTTGGGAATATGGGGCAAAAATGTCTGGTTGTAAATAATCATCATCAGATGATAAATAATCCGTATGATGAGGTGCTTGCTTTTTATTTTATTTTGTTGAAAGAATGCGTAATTTTCACTATGATCCTGTGGAGGATGTGAATTAGTTCGAAAATATACTGAGTTGGTTGTTGTCATCGGGTTATCCCAATAGTGACAACATACATGATTATTATTTTTTCGTGGGGGGTAGTTTGTTTTTGACGAATGTGCATAATTATAATTGTGTTCTGCAAAAGTGTTTCTTGTGAACGTTTTTCGTGGTTTTGATGGTTCTGTCATGGGTCTATAAGTTTGATAATCCATATGTGAATTTTTTGGAGCAAAGGAAGGTTTAACGGTTGATTGTAAGGTTACTTGTGCCAGTGAAGTATTTGTATTTCTTGGTGTTGTTAAATTTGGTTGTATTGGTGAAATACTTTGTTGTGTAGGTGTTGTTGTTTGGACAACTTCTTCATTTATGAAGTGTGATGGTGTTTGATTAATTGTGTATGACGGTCGAATTTAAACTGTTATTTCGTGTATCAGGTAAAAATGTATTGTAGTTTAATGGTGTTGCATTAATGGTTAGTGGTACTACTTTTACATAATCTCTGTGGTAAGATATTGTACTTATTGCTTGACTTGAGATAGATTGTGGGATATTCATAATTGTAGGATGAGACCATTCAGGGTCCAAAACGTAGTCTGATTGTTCTGTAATGGCAGTATCATCATTTGGATTTTGAGGTCTAAAATTTTTTTCTTGCTTGTGAAATTAAGTCTAAATTATGTGTGAAATAATCTATTATAAACCATGCCAAAATTTTTTGTAAGTCATGTTTTGTGTGTTGTGAAACATCGTCTTTAGTGAAAATTTCTTTGATTATATGTAGAAAAGTTGAAAATAATGTGATTTCATGTCGTACTTTTGTATGTTTGGATGTTTCAGTTGGTGAGATACTTTGAAATTCTGTTTTTTCTAATATAGAAATATAGGTATATATTATTGCAAAAACTTCGTTAGTGAATATAGAGTTTGCTCTTTGTGATTTATGATATTGTATGCTTTTGGTATATTCTAAGAATACTTTTGAAAATTCTAATTCAAGATCATCTGTTTGAATTACGTATTTACGATGATTCGTATTTGGTGTGCTGAATTCTATGGTGTTAGATTCCATATTGTTGTTTAAGTTACATATATCTTTCAAATAATGTGTAATAATGTGTCTTTTGATTTTTACATCTGGGAATGCTGCTTTGCATGGACTGATTCCGGGTTCAAACAAATTTACGAGTAAATTCTTGCAAAAATCATGTTGCCCTCTATTATCGGGTGCATCTATGAGGAAGGGGTAAACCTCTTCGTCATCTGGACTATCGTCACTTTGAGTGTGGCTCATTTTTTCGTTTGATGACTGTTAATATATAACTATCGATGTGTTTAATTGGTTGATTCCAATTATACAAGTGTACTGGTTTGTGTTTGTATTGCTTTTTTATTCTTCTTTTTCCTCTTTTTGATGAATTTGAAGTTGTTTCTGAATGGGAAAAATATAATTGATCGTGAATGGGACAATTTTTATCAATTGATTCTTTTAATTTGTAGAGTTCATCTAAATTGCTGGCTTCTGATTCTGAAAATGCGTTTATAGTTTTTGAAAATCTTTTTCGTGTGATTTGTCTTTGTTTGTTTATAATTTTTCTTTTTATTGTTTGTCGTTTTGTTCTAATGTATCCAACTGTTTGTGTATGAGGTGTGATGACAAGATCGTATTTTTTGTTATCTATCTCACAGTTGTGTAAAACGGTTGTTTGTTTATTTCCTAGATTTTTGAATGACATAAGGTTTAGGATGAGGGATGCAAAAAGTTGTTAGGTATTTCTTTTTTCTTAGACTGTTAGTCCTTACGATTTTTTGGTTAGCTTAACCTTAGTCTTTTTATTTAGGGTTGGAGAGAAAAGTATATCGATTCTGAGGAATGATTTTTTACTTTCTCGTGGCTAGTCTATGCTAAGGTGTTAACTTACTTAATCTTACTTAGGGGTAGTGATTGTGTTCAAGGGTTGGAGAATAGTAAATCGATCCACAAGGTTCAGGTATGATTAGAACGCAAGTAGTTCGTTAGTACTATTTTAAACTTACTAAGTCTAAGATCTATCCTGGGTCTGGTAAGAGGAGAGTTCAAGTGAAGGATGAATAACCGAAGTTCTTCACTGTTTATCCTAATTTGAATGGTTAGTTTTATTTAAAAATTTCTTTTAGTCTTGGGTCTTTTGGAAGGGTTGGATAGTGAATCGACGTTTGAGGTCGTTAGACACTTGTTAAGTGGGTGGGGGAGAACAAAATTGTTCTTTTTGATCCAAGGATAGGCCTTGATGATCAGGTTTTAAATTTAGTGAAATAGAAAATTTATTGAGATCCAAGGATAAGCCTTGATGATCTAATTTAAAAATTAAGTGAATTTAAGTTTAATTTGGTTTAAATTTATTTAAGAAAAAGATTTAGTTTTTTAATGATATTAGTGAGCTTATGATTGCTGTTATGTTTAGGTGCTGAAGCTGGGACAACAGATGATTTTATGATTTTTTACAATTTATTGTCATGCTACTAATTTTTATTTTCATTTTCAATAAATATTTTTTAAACATGTTTTATATAAGACTGCAGAAATTTAGAAAACGATCTGAGATCTTTTTATCAATCGTTATTGTATATTGAAATATTTTATTTAGCACCTGAAATGATCATGAAGATTGACTTCAAAATTTTATGTTTGCAGATGAAAATCTAAATTCATTGCTAATAAGATTCTAAATATAAAAGATTGTGTTGGCTTTTGCCGTACGATCATAAAACTATTTGGTAAGTTTCTACTTTGTCGTATGTCGTCTCTTGTTTGAGGTCTTCTTCCAATTCCGGGTAGTTCTATTATCGTTCGGAATATCGGCTCTGATCTATTGAGTCGTAGAGACATTTCGATTAAATTATTTTCGTATAACATTTTGAAAATGTTTTGTCTAAATTCTAATCTATTTTTGGTTAATTCTAAGCTATTAAGGTCTTATTCGAGACTTATGGTCGCACCAGATGAGTTAGGTTTGATGTGGTTAACTCATAGAGTAATTTCGGATAGGGTACACCGTCTGCTCGTCACGCTATCTTATTTTCGGCCGGATAGATTCGTGCAACTTCTTAGTCTAATACCGATCCTAATCTTACTCTTATACTTTCTAGTCTCAGGGTGTTTAACTAGTCTCTGCTAGGCTCAATAGATCTAGGGTATACTGGTTTGTTGCGGCTGCTGAAGTTCTCTTGGAGAGACAACTAATTTCTAAGTTAAATTCAAATCTCTCTGGTGCTGAAATTACAAGTAATTTCAGCCTTTACAAATAAGTGGGTTGTTAGTTAGATGGATCATGATTGGTTAATATTAAATATTTTACAGTGGTAAAATATCTAATTTATCCAATAATAAAATATAGTTTAGATCAGGTTCCAGCAGGTATAGCTGTTAGTAGCTGGTAGCAGGGGCGGATCTAGGGTTTTCTCGAGAGCGGTCGGATTTTCAAAAAATTTTGTCGATTTTGTCGGCCTTGTTTTGTAGGCCGACTAATTTGATTCTCCGAGCTCTGCCAAAGCAGTAAGAAACCCTGTTTAGGCCAAACTTTCTGTGCCGCAGAGAAAATTTTGAAAAAAAAACATGCCAAAAAATGCATTTTGAGGCACTTTATAGAAAACTTTTACCAAAAAGTCGCGTTTTTTCGGCGCGCGCTTCCCCTCAAAATTAGTCCCCAAAAATTAATATCTCAAAATAGTACAAAGGTCCCTGATGGGTTTTGTTGCTTGCTGGGTTTGGATGTTTGTTGTGAATATTTCTGCATGTTTAACATTTTCAGTATTTGATAAACATTTAAAATACAGCATATGTTTGATCCTTCTAAAGACTGAAACTCATTAAATTGTGAATAGAAAATGCTCATTACTTGCAGGATCCCTCTCAGGGTGGTAAAAAGAACCAGAAAAAGGGAAAAGACGGGACAACTGAGCTAAATGAGGGTGGCTGGACGAAGGATATCGAGAAACACCCGAAGTCGGCTGACACCTTTTTGTCGCATCACATGCCCTCCTCAAGTTCCACTCAAGTACACGTTGAGAGCGAAGACAAACCTGCTGAAAAACATGACAGTAGGAAAAAATTCTTATTAGAGCTCTGGAAAAATTTCCTGAAATATCAGATCTTCCTCCCCAAATTGTCAAATTTAACCACTAATTTTAGCAAATTAAACTAAGTTACATTACACTAAATATACGCTTGAATATCTCTAATTCAATTGTCAAATTAACAGAACATATCACTTCCGGTAAAACTAAATTTTGGATTTAGGCAGGGGCAGATATAGGATTTTCTCGAGGAGAGCGGATTTTTAAAGAAATTTTCGAAGATTTCGTTGACCTTTTTTTGGATTGACCTAATTGATTTTTGAGCTTTCGCAGAGCACTAAAAAGACCTTGTTGTGGCCGAACTTTTAGCGCCGCAGGCAAAATTTTGAAAAAAAAAACAGGTCAAAAAAGAAAAAATGCACTTTTTGGAAAATGTTGACGGAAAAATCGCGTTTTTTAGGCGCACGCCACCCTCCCCTCGAAATTAACACATATTTGCGCCAAAGGCGCCTTCAGAAAAGCTTTAGGGTCCGTCAGACAAAAATGGATATCTCAAAAAAGTACAAAGGGTGGGGGGACCCTTTGGGTCGACAGGGGGTTCGAATCCCCAAAGAGGGCTGGGGGAGTCCGCCCCCTCCTAAATCAGCCCCTAGAATTAGGTAAAAACAGAAAAATAACAATTTGGGTCCTTTTGCTCTAACTCTAAAAAGCAACTATTTTGATTGGCTATAATAGTTTCAGAGACCAGTTTAACATACCCAAGTATACCCTTTTAAGTCAAAGGGAGATTTAGTAAGGGGGTATATTTGGGAAGACCTAGGAATAAAAATGGGCTTGCTTTTCAGAAAAATCCTCCCCTAGCAAAGTGGACGTGCCTAAACCTAAAACTGAAGATACTAAACCGGAAACTGTCGCCACTCCACCTGCGGCTGCTCCAGCGACTACAGCAAGCTCAATTGATAAATTCTCAGATAAAACTGAGAAAAAGGACAAATCTGACAAAAAGGGAAAAGCTGAAAAAGGAGATTCGCCGATGCCGATGGCATTCAAGAAACAGTTCTCGAATTACGAGGCCGACTCGGAGGGATCTCTAGACGGGGACGAAGACTCAAACATGAACGCGACTGAACTGTTTCGCAAACTGCTGGGAAGATACAGGGCTCTCAAGTGGCTGTACGGAAACGCCGCCAGGTGAGCTGAATTTATTTTGGACCTCGTGAACAATCTCCCACTACCTTAATTTAGGGTACCTTAATTTAGGGATATCGGTCAGGGGCGTAGCCATTAGCATGCGTGACGGACCAAATTAACATCCTCCCCCTTAAACACGTTTAGGGGGGAAGATGTTAACTTGGTTCTAGGTTGGGAATTTGCAGCCAATCAGAATCGAACATTTTACATGCAGCGCTTAGCAAATTTACTTAAAATTAAGCGCTGGGGTGGATGATCTTAACTTGGTCTATTTGGGGTGGGAGGATATTAACTTGATCCTGCGTGACTATTAGCTTGCGATAACTGTTTTAATTTGGTATGCACTCAGAACAAAAAAAAAAATTAGCCCAAGTTTTCAAATAATTTCTGAAAACAACTGGATTTGTTTGGAAAATTAAAATTTCACATTCGTCTAATTGTAAATTCGGTCGCATGCGCGCTGAGCAAAATTGCAAGCTTGAGTAAACAAAAACTCAAGTAACGAGTCTTCATACTAGATTTTTTTACGTGGACATGCTAATTGACACATATGCCAATAGGCGGGTCCTCATTGGTCACGGGCCTAAAAACATTCCAAAACTGACAAAACTATCACTTGATTGAAAGCGAATTCAAATCGATTTCAAATCGACCCAAATCAATTAACCATGTACAAAAAGTAACCGAATTGGGCTTTAATTAATATCAATGTATCTAACCGGAATCGATCGATACAATTCAAGAGTTAAAAAAAATCTTGGATCCACTTAACAATCGCCCTCCCTTTGGTATCTATTTAAAAATTGTCACCCCTACAGTGCTGATTTAAATTAACCGGACAAAACGCGTTAAACTTGAAATTTAAAACGCATTTTGCTCAAATTGGGTTGAATTTAGGTGAAAACTTATGAAGACAAAACTTGCTTAAAATTTTAGCAGAATTAATATGGCGTAATTTGTTTCGCGAAATTCCGGTCCCAAATTTTACTCCAAAAATTTTTACACAATATGAAATTCTTTTTGGAGAATATACCCTTGTTACAAATTGTTGGGCTACATAAGGGGCTCACTTTGATATAAATATGTCTGTGACTGACTGGGTATTCTTAACGTAATTTTTGATTAACCAAGAAAAACCAAAATGACCCATTTTTGGGGTAAAATTTCGGACCGGAATTTCGCAAAACAAATTACACCATATTAATTCTGCTAAAACTCTAGGCAAGTTTGTCTTCATTAGTTTTCACCTAAACTCAACCCAATTTGAGAAAATGCGTTTTAAATTTCAAGTTTAACGCGTTTTGTCCGGTTAATTTGAATCAGCACTGTATTAATAAAAGCAGTAAATTAGCACTGACTTTTCTACTGAGAATTATAATTTTGCTGCATTCTGATTGGTCGCAAATGCGTTATTTTAATCTACTTAACAATTGTGCCCCTTTCTTAAAAGGGCGAGGGGGGAGCAAATGTTAATTAGATCCAAATTCTTCAATTGCTATCTGGAGCGAAAAGAAAATAGAAACTCAAATGGTAACAATTATTTGTCCTTGAACAGTTTAGCTGTTACTTATTCTTATCGTCAAAACACTGGTTTCATTGAGATCCCTTTAGAGCTTTGCGATCCAAGTGTTACCGCTGTTTGGATGCAAAAATGTAAGCCAAGTTTTTCAAGCGCCCTCGGAGCCGAATGAAAAAAAAATGAAAATTCAAAGGTTAACAACTAATTTTGCTTGAAAAATTAGTTCTTAGTTATTCTTATAAGTTTTTCAAATTTAAACATCAGCAGCAAAAATCAACTCTTTGAATTTTATTTCTAATTTTTCAAACGAATTTTCAACAGGGCAAAAAAGTGTCTAATCTGTACAAAATGATTACTAAAAAAAATACATCGGTTTAAAAAGCCCTTGGATTGGATACTTTTTTGTTGACAGTTATAATGGCCCAACTACTTTAAAACTATTCTAAAGGTGCTGTTGGCGCCCAAATCTGCAATTTTGATGGTGAGCGCGCGCCGAAATGTACGCTCTTTTTTAGTGCCTAAGGCAATGGGAAGGAATTTTGCATTCGGGTGTGCTTCATTTTTTTTGCACGCAAAATCAGGTACCTCAAAGAACCATCGGAATTTTACGAGCGATATATCAAATTGAAGCCCTCTCAGTTGTGATTCAAATGAGTTTAAATACTTTCAAAAAAATCCCGATGTCGAGAAAAACCAATTTGAAAATTTTGAATTTCGGTCAAATTTTGAGCAATTGAGGGGAGCGATGAGAGTTGAGCAACCGTGGCTGAGTGGGTGAGACGCTCGGCCTTGAACACGAAGGTCGTGGGTTGGAATCACGCTTCGGTCACGTTTGGAGGGGTCCCAGTTTCATCCGCCTCCTCAAGGTGGGACCGGTTGTGGCAAAATGGATGACATCTCTCTTCCCCAAGGAAAAAGGCGCAAGGTTGAATGGTGGGAGCTGGGCCGGGGGCTAATTTAAAAAAGCGAGCCGGCTTTTTTGATTTTCAACCAAAAGTATTTACTGCAAATTATAATCGTAATGCGTAATGGGTGGAGTTATGTATCATATTAAAGCCATTTCAGCTTTGATTCGAACTACCATTAAAATAGTTTCGAAAAATTGTCCCAGTGTTGAGAAAAACCGGTTAAAAATTTTTGATTTTTAGTGAAAGTTTGAGCAAGTAAAGAAAGCGATCAGGCTTATTATAGAAGAATAAGCCATGAAACTTTAGTTAAACTCCAGCTAAATTGTTCTTCAATTTTATTAGCTCCTTTTTTGGAAAAGAAAACTTCAAAAATTAAAAACAGTTTCTGCAAATAAAATTGAAAAAAAAAAAAAAAAAAAACGTTAGAGAATTTTTTCAGTTTTTTGTCTTTTTTGACTAAAACGGTTTCCCAGTTTGCCTATTTAAAAATTACCGTCGAGTATGCCTACTTTCTTGGTTTTCGTCAGATCCTTTTATCACACGACTCGCAAAAAACAACACTAATCTGAAAAAATATATATATGAAAAAGCGTTTTATGCATTTTTTTAAGATTATGATCGGAACATTCTGTACTACTTGCACAGCCTACAGATATTCTTTTTTTTAGATTTACCTGTGCTGCATCAAGTTTTGCTATCTTTGAGAAACCCTAGATCCGCGCCTTGATTAAACATTTTATATCGAAACTTTCAAAAAAATGTACCAACTCATGATTAACTTCTTGAATCAATGATTCAATGTTTTTTTAAATCAAAACGAATAAAAGCTTATTATTTGATCTGTGTACAAATGTCTAGGAATATCTCATACAGATTTCTTGATTGGTGGCTGCAACAATCATAGTTGAACCTTTAAGCTTGATAGAAGTAAGGTGTGTGGTTGGGTTACAGATACTACTACTTCCTGAATCTGGGCTGTTTCTACTCTCCGCTCGTTCTGCTCTCTACCCTCGCCACCATCCTCTCCTCCCTCGTCGCCACCCAGGAGAGCAACCACATGCTGTCTCTCTTCATCATTAAAGTATCCGCCATAATCTCTATCCTCACAGGTATCTGCACATTACCCATATTTTTGTGAACATGAACATCTCAGTTTCTGTTATTTTTTCGCAATTCCAGCTTCCATGCAACCATTTTTTTTCAAATTTTTCCAATAAGTTTTCAAAAACCTTGTATTGCATTTTCTGAAAGAAAACCTCTGTGAATTTTTGTTCTTAACCTCCTATTAAAAAAGATTAATGAAAATGCTACTATTTTTAACAAAAACAGAATATTTGTTATGAGGATTTAAAAAAGCTTTTCAAGCTTATGATAGTGCTCAGAAAATACAATTATTTCTTTTCTTCGCCAAACAAACTTCTCTTTTTTGCCAATCAGGGGCGGATCTATGATTTTCTCGAGGGGGGGGGGGATCTACGGATTTTCAAGGATTTTTTTAGGTCGACCAAAATGTTTTCCCAGCTCTTCTAAAGCACTAAAAAGACGCCTTTTTGGCCAATTTTTCTGCGCCGCAGGCAAACTTTTGAAAAACAGGTCGAAAAACCGTTTTTGGGCTTTTTTTGGAAAGTTTTGACATAAAATCGCGTTTTTTTGGCGCGCGCTCCCCCTCAAACTTACTATATATTGGCGCCAAAGCCACCCCAAAATTTTAGGGTAAGTTGGCCAAAAATGGATTTCTTAAAAAATACCAAAGGGGGACCCTTTGGGTCGGCAGGGGTTCGAATCCCTGAGGAGAGGGCGTCCGCCAAACCCCCCTAAATCAGCCCCTATGGCCAATTATTAATAAAAGGAAGAAAGCAAGAAAACTTCGAAATATTGATACATGCAAACAGTTGAGTTATTGTTAAAAACAAGTTTGGAACCATTTCTAGCCGGGACGAATGTAGATTTTTGTAAGGGGGTGGAGGTGAATTTTCAAAATTTGTAATATGCTGAAATAATCTGATATGTTTTTTGTTCAGGTCTCCAAATGACTCTGCAGTGGGAGAGCGAGAGTGCGAATTGCGACACTGCCCACGAGATGTACAGGAAACTAGACTCCGAACTCAGCTACAGGCAAGTGCACCTTAAACGAGAATCTAGCGCTAGGGTAGAATGTCATAAGGTAGCACCGGTAGAACCGCAATCAGTTGCACATGTTATACGGCCTTTCACTTGTAATCATTTTTGTCACCCCCTCTCACTTCACAAAAAATACTTCTATTTGTGGCGCCCGATTTTTATGTTAATTATTAAATGACTCAAAAACTAATCAAAAGCTTTTTACTTACTTTTTGGGCTGAAAAATGTTGCCTAAGCCTGTCCGTACCGAACTTTTTGGCCATAATCATATCGGATCATTGTAAAATCATGCAAAATTCATGTCTGTAACAGATGTGCAGCATGTCTATATTCGGCATGCACATACCTGCATCAGACCTGCATCAGGTGTGCTAACTGAAGATATGCTCACACCTGCAGCATGAATGATCATGCCTGAACTAAACATGCTCACACCTGCAGGATACATGATCATACCTGAACTAAACATGCTCACACCTGCAGGATACATTATCATGCCTGAACTAAACATGCTCACATCTGCAGGATACATGACCATGCCTGAACCGAATATGCTCAAATCGGTATCTTCAGTATTATAAGATAATTAAAGAAATTGTTAAATTGTAACAATATCATAAACTCAGCTTGATAATGTGACACTTTATTCAAATTTTTAGTTTTTTTTTCAGATTTTTTCTGACATCGGTGAAGTTTTTTGTTGAAAATTTACTGTAGTGGTTAGATGCATCTTTTTTTAATTGCCAGCAGGGAGTCGTTGGTAGCGGGGCGTGTGGATACTTTTCTCTGTTTCCTGTCAACATAAAACTAATTGTTAGTCAAAACTTCATCACTTTAAATAAATGCTTAACAAATAAAATTAGACAAAATTCATGCGTTAAAAAGTAGTCGCATATTTGTTAATAATTTATTCAATGAGATTAATACAATCAACCAATCAAATCTTTTTACTTTGTAACATTCGTCTACTGTAGTCACACATGAGGCTTAAGAAAAATAGGCCCTATAACCATTGGCTCAAGAGTCAGGGACACTATCTCTTGTGTTTTTCTACCTCAAATCAGTCGGAGCCAATTCGGTTCGCTTGTGACATGAGACTACGACCCGTTACAGCTTAAAGGCTACTACCAAAATATCCCCCCACTCTAGAAATAAGAACGTCCCCATACTTAGGTCTCTATATACCCAAAATACATGAACGCCGTTAAAAACCGGGTCGGAACAATCCGTTAAGTTACTTTTTATTAGACAGTGGAACTTTGATCCATTTCAGATGGATCAACCTAAAACTCGCCTTACCTCAACATAACAATCATAAAACACACTCTAGAAATTTAAATTGGGTACTCACATCGTAGCACGCTCAAGAACTGGGAGTAATTAAGTTAGTAAACAACTCGAGAATTAAATAATGTAACTAAATGAGTTTAATGTTTGTTAGTTTCAATAACAGGAACAAGTTTGAACTCTAGAGTATAGTTTCTCGTGAACCATTGGGACACTCAAGCTGTCCACCTTTCCATCGAAGGTTCACTCTAGTCCAGTTTGAATGATAATCCAGTCGAGCAACAATAGTCCAATTCTCGGGAATACGCTTCCTTCTGTTTCAGATAGGACAGCTCTACTCTAGTTTTATTGTGACGGAAATTGCGAATGGCAATTTCCTACTGCTTTATCTGGCAACTTTCCCGCGATTGTTACTCGATCGTTCTGATTTCTCTTTTTCGGTTTTCAGTTATCGCGAGAGAATCGTGCATGACAGGCTCCATTCGAATTTTTGAAAAATCAAATTTCACTCCAAAATTAAGCGTTCTTGTTTTTCTCAAGGTCAAACTTCCAAATATGACCGACTGGCACATACTCCCCGGACTCAAGATCGATGTCCTCATCGCGTGCTGTCGTCTGTCAGTGAGTCCCAGAAAACCGAGTGTTGCTCAAGGTACAGTGCCAGTGGTCATTTACAGAAGTTTGCAGCAGACTTAAGGTTATCTACACCCCAAAATTCACGGCCATGTAAAATTTTCACACTATCGCTAAACAGCAATCAAAATCTGCACACACCTGCACCCTTGAATTCTCGCTTTTCAAGCCAATTATTTAAAAAAAATTTTGTCCCATTCAATCAGGAAATTGTCATGCAGCATTTTGATTTATATAGTAAATATAGCATATTAATAACAATATCTGATTCGTTAAAATTTCTTTTTCGTGAACCCAGGTTTCATCCGGATTCACACTCAAGCCCCCCTTTCCCTCTCAAGATTCAAGATCTCTTCGAACCAACCGCTCATTTCGCACCCTTCGCCTTGGAGGTGCCGTCCCCTGAAGTACTGGATACGGCAAACTGTCTCAACAGTTCTTCTTCATCATCGAAGCTAATCACAATCTCCTCCCAAGCCTTCAGCTGATCATAGGATCGCATCCATTCCCTTTGCTCCTGCAACCTCTTTGCCTGGTTGGGCAGTGCCTTCACCCTAGATTCCCGGTTCAAACAAAAGGAATTGTGCAGGCTCAGGCTCACGTTCTTCGCCAAGTCCTCCTCTAGTATCGATTCCCTCGCTTTGGTATTGTCTCTAGACATTTTACCCACTCTTTTCCATCCTGTCGTGATCACATTTCGATGGGTCAACAGGGGTCTCTTGAAAGCTTCCGGCCGAATCTCGGCCTGGAACTGTCGATACTCCTTTTGATGCTTTCTCATGTGATCTTTCGTTGTCATGTATAACCAAGACGTCAGTGTCGCTCGAAACCATGGAAAGTACCTCAAGCGGCTCCATACGTGTCTGACTTCCATTGGTATGGCGAATACTTTGCATGCAGTCTCAAACAACTCGAGTCTCCTGCTGTAGTCTATCGCATATATTGACTCAGCCGTTGGCGTCTTCGCTTCCCGATACTTCGTTATATTCTCTTCTATCCATCTCAGAGCCAGCATCGTACTCACTACTAGGAGCGTCACCTTCTGCCGGTGATCCGGTAATCCGATCGACCGAATTTTTTCCATATCCCACACCAGGCAGAGGTTCTTCTGATCTGGATACCACACCGTTTGTGCCAAACAGTGGCATGGGCATTCTCCATGGGTGATCTCAATGCTCCTGAGGTTACGCTCCCCCGAGGCTTCCAAGAGAGGCTCAAGCTCCATCATTTTCTCATGCATCGTGTCGTTCTCTCCCATGTTTGGAGCACCCCCCACAGGTTTTCCGATCACGTTTTGTCTCTCGTGATCGCTTGTGTTCTCACTTTCCAATTTCAAAAGCTCTTCTCCCCAGATTTCATTCAAGTCATCTCTCATCTCTTTCGGTACTGTCCCTCTGATTTTCCTCAACAACTTGTGCGAGTGATGCGATACCCGAGCCAACCTCACGCACTTGGGCACTGAGAAGGCCTTGTCCACCAATAATCTCTGGCTGGATGCTTCCACCATCGCCATGTGCAGTGGGTAGTGGCTTCTACACAAATTGGCCATCATTGACCCTATCAGGGATTTTGCGTTCAATGGCAGGCCATAAGCTTCGCTCATGGGAAACCCCATTTCCGCCTCGAGATCAACCTTCCAGCTCCGGATATGTTTTTGAGTCACCTGCAACACCCCAGGCCATGATTCCACGCTCAACGCAGTCACTAAATGGTGTTCAGACTCTAGCCTCTCCAGTGACTGCAGACTACACATTCTCGAGAAGAATCCGAAAGCTGTCGCTATGTTCACTGTAGTTCTCGCGTAACACTCCGCCACTATTTGTACTTCACTTTTCTCCCTTTCCGTGATGTCTTCAAACCAAGTAACCAGATCTTCTTTTTGAAAGGACAGTATCCTGACACATGATCGTCCATCGCAGGTGTGCTCTCCACTCCCACACGTAGAATCCAGACAGCTACCCGGCTCCATCTTCTTTGCTGACTCGAGATTGTTCGTCTTTTCGCCTGACTCCTTCATCTGAGGTAAGATCAGTTTGTGCACCACACTCAACTTTGCCAAATCTTCATCTTCCGTTGGTGCTAACCTCACCCGCTCGGTGGTCTCCTCGATCAGACTCGCGTGGGGATGTGGGCACCAGGAGGGTCTTAGTAACTTCCATACCACTCCCAAGTTCGTGATCAACAAGCCATTGCCATCACCCATGTTCACTTCAACTCTCTTGTTCGAGCGCGGTATGCTCACCACCTCCGGTGTTTTCTCAATAATCAGGCCCAGGCTCGGCCTCTCTTTCTCCACCGCGTCTATTTCCACTAGTTTTTCTGTCCAAAACGTCAGCAGCTCCGCTACCTCGTGGTTCCTGTGAGCGCCTCCAGTTTCTGAGTCTAAGAAGGGGTTGTAGGCTATCCCCATCACTCGAGACACGTATTGGTATCCCCCCTTCTCACTGAGTCTCGAGTACTGCTCTGGCGAGGCCAGGTTACGGTGAACATCATGTTCTTCTTCGAACTTCTTCTTTCTTAAACCTCCGTACCTCGTCCAGCTTTCTGTGGTTCTCTAGGGATAGTCTGGAACCATCTTCCTTCTCTATTCCAGTACTCTGATATACGTTTAATATGATCGTTGAGACTCTCTTTTCCACGGTTTTACTTCCGCTTGCTCTTTGGTAGCACGCCAAGATGGTGCTATCAGACATCATTGACATTATCCATCTCAAGAAACATGTGGCATCCTTCCTCCTAGCCAGGCTCAAGCCTGAATTATCCCTGGCCACGTGCTGCATCAGTGCTTGATACACTTCTAGCTTCTTGCTTCCCAACTTCAACCTGTCATACGAGGTCAATGTCTCCAACTCTATTCCCACCAGACTCCAGGTGAGCATCAATTGTCCTGCGGTTCTAACGAAGGGATTCGCCATCAATGGCGGTGCTGATGAGGGTGTCCTCATTGCCTCTTCAAAATGATCCTTCAATAAGTTCTGCCAGGACCTCTTCAGCTGGTTCGCCAATTCTATCTTGTTAACCTCAGCCTTTTGCTGGGTGGCCCAATTGCGTCGTTTGCGAGCTACTCCACTGTC